GTGATGTAAAGACATTATTAGTTATATATTACATTCTAAAAAATATAGAATTATACATATTCTAAAAAGACTTTTTTTATTTTTAAAAATTTTAAAAATATAATGTTGAAACAGTGATTCAAACTCTAAAATACTAATGCAATTAATTCTAATATGAACTTCATATCACAAAACTATTAACCCATTAAAATATTTTTTTAAAAATTGTGTAAATTATAAAAAAAAAATATCACCTCTTATTTTATAATTTTTTATTTGTTTAAATACCCATTTGTTTCATTTTAATGCTACTACTCAAATAATTAAATTGCTTATAAATTTAGTAATACATCATATATATGTATGTGTATATATATATATATACACATACATGAAAAATAATATTTAGTGAAATAATACTTCCTTTATCTATAAATAAAGAATCTATGATGTATTACTAAATTTATAAGCAATTTAATTATTTGAGTAGTAGCATTAAATTGAAACAAATGGGTATTTAATTTAAACAAATAAAAAAATTATAAAATAAGAGGTGATATTTTTTATTTTATAATTTACACTATTTTTTTTAAAATATTTAAATAAGTTAATAGTTTTGTGATATGAAGTTCATATTTGAATCAATTGGATCAATATTTTAGAGTTTGAATCACAATTTCAACATTATATTTTCTTTTAAAAATAAAAAAGAGTCTTTTAAGAATATGTATAATTGTATATTTTTAAGAATGTAATATATAACGAATAATGTCTTTAAGTAACAAAAGGGATTGTAGCATGGATGGTGGATAGCGTAACAAGAGAGCAAATTGGTCATGTTTTCGAAACCTCCATTAGTAACTATTTTAGGACATTTGTGCCAAAAAAACCGGTCATCAGTCGATTCGATGCAGTGAGCGATCTTTGGGGCTGGACCGGACCGGTTTGGCTCCCAGTTCAACGGTTCTTGGTCCGAACCGACCGGTCCAGTCCGGTTTTTAAAATTATGTATGTACTACAGAGAGGGGGAGAACATAGAACAAGGCAGCAGAGAGGGGAAAGGAAGAATAGAAATACTATGTAATTAAAAACATTATTCCACAAAATAAGAAGAGGAGAAGAGGGATTTCTGATTCAACAGAAGTTCTATATCGCACACTAGGTATGAACATAATATCATCATGTTTTTAAATGCCATAATATCAATTGGTTTTAGAAATAAAATCAAACCGTATCAAACCATTTGAATGGTAATGATATTGTATGGATTCTAAGAAAATACGTACTGGACCTTCGTAGACGGTGTCAACCCATAATATTAATTCCACCCGTAATTCGAATACTATGCTTGATCTATGGAATTCAAACTGAAATGAAAGGAAAGATATATATTTCTCTCCTTTTCCTTATCAAAATGAAAGATAGTTGGTTTCCTTCTTCTTAGTTTATTTTCTCTTCTAATTCTTTTTTTTCCTACACCCTTCATTCACCAAAATTTTCTCTTTCATTTTTTTATCTTTCACCAAACATCTCTACTTTCTATTAAAAATCTACTTGTATTCATACTAATTCTTATTCTACCTATCACATCATACTTTTTTATTTATAGTCTATCCATCACATCTTATTTTTACCCATCACATCAAGCAAAATTGGAAAGCCAATCCCAAATAACAAATTTTTTGTTTTGGCCCAAAGTCAAAATATGATGGATTTTGGTGAATAGAGGCAATACTATTCTTTTTTTCTTTCTCTAACCAAACAAAAAAATCATATTTTTTTCTTTTTTTGAAATTCATTTCCCCAAACATAGTAACAATAAGTTAACAATAAGAATAATTCAGTTGAACCCTGCAATAATAAAATCGAAACAAATTAAACATAGTCTAAGTGTTGAATGGAAATCAACCGCTCGTGGGCATTGCGCAGTAAGTAAAGACAAGAAGTGCGAAGGAGATAAGACTCGAGTTTGATTCCTAGCTAAGCATAGGACCTTGCAAGTATCAAATACATGCTTCACTTTTTACCAGCAATTTGTGATCAAAGTCCAATTTATTTTCTCTCAATGACCGTCTGACTGGGTCTGGAGAACTTTGAGGATAGAGCTCATCTTTTTTTGTTAAATGGAAATCAACCAACATTACCCAGGAAAAAGCACTCATGGGCTGTTTGGCAACTTCTGAATAGGTTAGTGCTGAACCAGTAAGAGGTCTAAACCATTAAGTGCTGAACCAGTAAGAGGTTTGAACCATTAAGAGCTAGTATATTGCTTAACTATTCAGAGGCAAATGTCTGATCAATTCAGATAAGAGGTCCTAACCATTCAGACTTTGTATAATATTTAACCATTCAGAGGCAAATCTCTTAACCATTCAGACATCTGAACCATTAAGAGGCTGAAACAAACAGTCTGAACCATTAAGTGCTGAACCATTCAGACATCTGAACCATTAAGAGGCTGAAACAAACAGCCCCTCACTTTTATCTGAATTTTTGGGGTGGGATAGGAGTTGAGACTCGGATGAGTAGAGGTGATAAAATGGGCGTCTGGCCTAATCCTAATGGGCGGAACCATTACTATAAAAAATTTCTAAACCCAACCACCTTAAATTTATAAAAGCCCAAACGCCTTTAAAAAGTATGAATCCCAATGTGTGGAATATTGAGACAAACTACTTCCAGCCCGTTGGACAGACTCATACAATATCCAGCCCGACAGACTCATGATCTTATGTTTACTACGGATTAACATCATTTGATCATTGGGAATTTGGGACCAAAACAAATGTATGTAATACCCAACTCATCTTGTTAAGTTATCTTACATCAGAAATTGAAGAGAAAATAAATTTATATATACATTTTTGAATTAAACTAAATAATTGATTGAATTCAATCTTTACGAAAGAAGATGATCGATTTGCAAGAAATATTTACATGTACTAAAATAGACCTCACTTCTCATCAATCATTAACAATAACAATTAATAAAATCAGACAAAAATAGGATCGGAGAAAGATGTGTATACACTCACTTACCTCACTTCAAAGTAGCGAGAATGTCTCTAAGAGACCCCGGCTCGACCAACACATAAAGCGCTTAACTCTATAAAAAGGAAACAACAAACTAAGAGTACAAAAACTGCAACGAGACAAAATGCCATGTTTTTATCAATCATACTGAAATTATAGTTTCATTTATCTCTTTCCAGTCTACTATCAGGCCCGGTACTAAGATACATTGGGGGCTGGGATTCAACCTTTATGAAAGGGAAAATTATTATATACACCTAAGATCCACAGTAGACTTTCATATATGTTAAATGAGCCTATTTTAAAGTGCTTAAATAAGCAATTTTAAAGTAAAAAATGCTCCCTCCATCCCCCTAATATCTTCTCATTTTTATTTTTTGTGGTTTTTAAGGAGAATTAAAAAAAGTGAAAGTTTATCAAAATACCATTGATGAAAATGGGTGGAGTCTATTAAATGAGGTAGGTTAGATGCAATAAATAAAGTAAGTCGGGATAATTGTGATATTCTAAATGTTAAAAAAGACAATGTCAAGATTTATGGTGGACAAAAAAAGGACTAATAACAAGATTTGTGAAGGACCCATAGAAAGAGGATAGATGGAGTAAAGATGAAGTCTTCCAAAGTTTTCTTCTTCTTCTTTATAGGGAAAAACAAAAAAGAATCATAATTTAGCCCTGGCCTCACTTTGTTATCACTATATAACTCCCCTTCTTCCCCCACCACAATGGCCATCTTTTAATTAATGTTGATAGTCTTCTTCATATTCTTCTAGAAGAAAGAAAATCAGAGAGCAATGGAGTTCATCACTTGAGAGACGTCATCAATGGCGGATTTTGACCTCGAAACCCCATTCCCAACTCCCCATGGTCATGACCTTCCTTCAGACACCCCCAACTATTACCTTTTCAACGTGGAATCTGACCACATGCCTGCACCAGCCTATCACCGGAGCCTCGTCTCCGGCGCCGGAGCTTTTCTCGTCGACACCCGCCGGAAAATCATGTCTCTCGTTCTTCGACTTTCCCGTCACTATGGCTCCGTCACAAGCTATCTCGCCGTGAATTACGCCGACCGGTTCCTCTCGTACCATCCCTTTCCGGTAACTAACCGTATATATTTATGTGTTTTTACTCGTTTAGACGCCGCAACCCCCTCCTAGATCATACATTGACACTCTTTAACGTTATATGTCCTACGACCACTAGTTTGAGCTTTTGATTTAATTAACTCGTCATTTTCAACTTTCCAAATTGAATATCCACACATTATAGTGAAATTTGAAAGAAAATGCAGGAAGGGAAGCAATGGTTCTTGAATCTTGCTGCAGTTTGTTGTGTCATATTGGCTTTGAAGATGACCAAAACAGAGTTTTCAGTTTCTGAAATTCAGGCAAGTAAACATATACTCCACACTACACAAACCAATAAGGAAAGTAATAATCCCAAGTAAACTGACATTGTGGTGAATCTTTCTTGTACACTACCCAAAAAAAAAACAGCAAGATGCTGGTGCCATGTTTGATATGCAAAACATTGAGAGAATGGAGAAGTTGATTCTCGGAACGCTGAGCTGGCGAATGCGGTCCGTGACTCCGTTTTGTTTCCTTGATTTCTTCATCTCGACCTTCGGGCTCGAGGGCCCGCCACCAAGGCGGGCCCTCAAGGCAAGGGCGAGACAGATCATCTTCAAGACCCAAACCGGTACACATCTATCAAACTCACTCCCTCTTAGTGGTTTTAAAACATAGTAACAATAACGTTAACAACTGACCTTAATATCTCAGAAGTCGAGTTATTGAAGTTCAGGCCATCTTTGATCTCCGTGGCGGCTCTCCTCTCTGCCTGTGATGAGCTCTTCCCTCTACACTTTCACTGCTTTAAAGAAACAACCTTTGACACAACACATATAAATGCTGTAAGTGGTTTTTCTTTGTAAGTGGGTTTTGCCCCTCCATTTCTTCCCAAAATATATGAAAACCAGGAATGTGATTTGTTGTCATGGTACCGTTGCAGGATGACTTGTTGATGTGTTACAGTGTGATTCAAAACAAGTTGGGAACATAGTGAAGGAGCTGCCACACTAATTAAGAACAGAAAAGGCACCAAAAACGGCAAAGATTTGATCAGCTCAGATTTCACAAATGCGCCAAAAATGCTAATGCCAGCGGCTAAACTAGTCATGAAAATCACTTCTGTTTTTTTGATTTATTTCATAGAAGCACTACTACATCGACTAATACACGAAAAACGCGTTGTCGTATTAACTGAATCCAAATGAGTATTTATAAGAATTTCTGAATAGAGCTGATTGCACATCTTAATCATTCAACACTGGTTCTTTACCAATGAAGCATTTCTTGAAGTCTTGGAATGAGTTTGTGAGCTACTTTGGCTGGACGACGATTCTGTGAAGAAAACAATGTCTTGTTCATCATCGCCACCAAAAACATGAAGAGACGATGGGATCGGTGGCAACTTCACATCCAAAACCCCTTCAAGAATCTGAACCACCATTCCCATAGATGGCCTTTGATTCTCATCATCTTGGATACACCAGAACCCCACTCTGCACATTCTAGAAACTTCTTCATGGTCCGCGACTCGGTCCAGCTTTGGGTCCAATACGTCGAGAACGTCCCCTTCTTTGAGAATCACATGGGAAGCAGCCCAAGTAGGGAAGAACTTCACTTTCGCGTGCTCCGAGTTTCGGGTCCCGGATAAGAGTTCAAACACCATCATTCCGTAGCTGTAAACGTCTGCTTTGGGTGTGATGGGAACTCCGGATATCCATTCGGGTGCAAGATAACCTCTCGTTCCTCTCATTGTCGTCAACACTCGGCTGAAGTCCCGGCCCACCAGCTTTGCCAGACCAAAATCTGCAACTTTTGGACACATTTGGGAATCAAGAAGGATGTTTTCCGGCTTTATGTCGCAGTGTATGATGCAATCCCTACACTTCTCATGGAGATAACTCAATCCTCTTGCGATGCCCAACGCAATTTGGTACCTATTGGGAACAACCAAAAGATGTTAGTTACAGCAGAAAGACTTTTATGGACTTACAAACAACCATAAGTCTGAGCTTTTGGTTCAGTTGATTCCCAGACAATTTAGGGGCTGTTTGGCAACTTCTGAATCGGTAAGTGATGAACCAGTAAGAGGTCTTAACCATTAAGTACTGAACCAGTAAGAACCAGTAAGAGGTCTGAACCATTAAGAGGTAGTATATTGCTTAACTATTCAGAGGCAAATGTCTGATCAATTCAGATAAGAGGTCTTAACCATTCAGACTCTGTATAATACTTAACCATTCAGAGGCAAATCTCTTAACCATTCAGACATCTGAACCATTACGAGGCTGAAACAAACAGCCCCTTAGTCTCTATTGCTTTCTCCCTTTATATACATTATTATTATTATTGTGAATGGACTTGGAAGCTATTCCCATATGAGATAAAATGAACTTCTACCATACCTTGATTTCCAATCAAGAAACTTGGGTCCATTTGTTTCACTGAAGAGACAAGAATCCAAGGAGCCGTTTGGCATGTAATCATAAACCAACAACTTCTTATTGCCTTCGGAGCAGAACCCGCAGAGGCGAACGAGGTTTACATGTTGGATCGTTCCAATCGTGCTTACTTCGGTCCTAAATTGTTTTTCCCCTTGGCTTATGCTCTCCAGCTTCTTCACGGCAATGGCAGGAGATGAAGGGTCTGGCAATGTGCCTTTGAAAACCGAACCGAACCCTCCGCTCCCTAGTTTCTCCGAGAAGTTTCTGGTCGCGCACTGCAAGTCCCGGTACGAAAAAGCCACCAGCGAACCCTCCATCGCCGCCTTTGCGGTCCCCACCCGGCGACGGGACCAGAAAAAAGCACCAGACAAAGCCAACAAACCAAAAACAACTGATCCGAAAACAGCTCCAATCACAAGTTTGTTACTCTTTCCACCTGAGAATTCGGAGGCCGAAAGGCGAATGTTGACCGTCTTCCCACCACCATCGTTCGGTGCGAGTTGCACCAGATTCTGAAGCTCCCCCATCCAAACAGAACACCCATTGCCGACATCATAAGCATAAGCAGAGCAAGAACAATTCCCCAAACAGAAAGATTCACAATCTGAGTCACTCCCTACGCCACCAACAGATACATGCCGGTCGGGCGGATTCATCTGCGGGGACGCCTTAAACTTGTCTCTTCCTCCACACTGCAAGCTCGCCTTCCTCGTACACCCGCCGGAATAATCATTCCGGCTCCAGTCTCCGTCTGAGGTTACCCTGAAACCATCCAAACAGTTGCAAAAGGGCAACGAATTCTGGCAAGCCGCAAATGGGCCGCAGTAAGCATGAACCTCGCATTGTTGTCTGGGTTGTGACCAGAATAGATTCCACTGGTTCTGGCCCTCCAGCCATGTGAACTGCTTGATTTGGCCGGAAACGTCCATGACGAATCTTGAGATTATAGAAGAGCTGTAAACTGAATAGGTGAAATAGCTCTCGTTGTCCATATCAGCATAGCTGAAATTGTATAGGTAATTAGATCTCATCTCAGGGACCAAACTGAAAATTTGGCCATTCCAGGGGCCGCTTGTCCAATACTCCACGCTCCTGTTCCACTTGATCAGATACCGTTTCTGGTCCGGATCCAATTCCAGGGAAAACAAACCGGGTGCCGGGTCATCGGAGTTTTTCCAAGAAGTCAAAAGTTGTTTCTTGCTCGTCCGTTTGTCGTACGCAAGCTTGCCTCCGGGCAGCCACGTGTCCGCCGGGTTGTCGAAGCTCTGCCAGAGGGGGGTGGAGGAACCCAGATCCGGGCCCGACCCTTCACGCAATATCAGATTACCCGAGTCGAGAAGGACCGCGGAAACCGCGCCGTCGCCGGTGCCGGTGGGAGTTATGCTTGTGTTCCAAACCGCGATTTTCGACTCGTCGAGGATGACAAGATTGCCGGAGACGATTTTGAGCTCCGCCCTGGCCTTGTCGGAGACTGCGGTCTCCCTGTTGGCAACCCAAACGACGGTTTGTTTGGTGACGTTCTTGTACCATATGCCTACGTAGTATTTGGAAGCGTTGCCCGGTTTGAAGAATCCGAGGACGAAGTTGGAAGAAGCAATGGTCTGGTCACCGGAGAGGGATTGGTCTGCGGAGATGGTGTCGCCGCCATGGACGGCGGCGAGATAAGAACAGAGAAGAATCAGAGAGGAAAGTAGGAGAGGACAAGAGTAATAAATCCTGATGTGCATCGCTTAGCACAGAGTTGTCGGCAGGGGACGACGAAGTCGAAACAGATGAGGAAATCCGTATGGGCTTAAGATTTTTGCAATGTTTTCAGGATAAAAAAGTCAACATTATGTACGACTATTATCACACCCGTGCGTTGCACGGGTCATAGTTACGGTACTAACTCAATATCATTTTAGGAATATAAATTGGTATATAATGGAATATAGAGATTTTATTATTTTAAAGTACAAAAGTAAAATGATTTACAAATTTTGAAAGATTTCTTTATAAACTACATCACTCGTATGTATAATTTGTGTGAGCATTCACTTCGTTGTATATCAGAATCTTCAAGCCATTGCGATTTATTACTCTTTAAACTGTAACATACACTTTCTCATGACTAAATACCAGTTTCCGTAACAATAATTCAATATGTTTCAGATATTGTTCTTGATAATAATTCAATAATTTGACTTATCTAAGTAATAATTCAACATATTAATGTATTTATTTTGGAATTTGTATTTTTTAACTTTATTTTCGTATTTAAGTGGTACCATTAACTTACTCTATGGTATTTATTTTCTATTTTATTTTAGATCACTTACCATTTTTACGCGTATCCATGCTTGTAAATTATAGTATTAATAATATTTATTTTAGAATACTTATACCATTGTTACATGTTTCCATGCTTATAGTATTAATAGTATTAATTTATAATTTTTTAATTTTTGCATTTAAATAGTACCATTTGCTTAATGTACCATATTTATTTTTTAATTTATTTTATAAAACTTACAATTTTTACACGTTACCATGCATGTAAATTGTAGTATTATTTGATAGTTTTTTATTTTATTTTTTTATTTAAATGGTATCATTTACTTAGCGTACCGTATTTATTTTCTAATATATTTTAGAATACTTATCATTTTAATAATTATTTTATTTTCTAATTTATTTAGAACACTTACCTAATTTATTTTAGAACACTTACCATTTATTGTATTTTGTGTTTAAATGGTACCATTTGCTTATCGTGGTGACATACCATTCCGTATTTATTTTCTAATTTTCTAATTTGAATACTTACCTTTTTAAAAAAAAAGTTTTTAAAGTATAGTATTATTGTATTAATATTAATTTTGCAGTTTTTTATTTTATTTTCGTATTTAAATCATACTAATTACTTACCAAACTACATTATTTTATAATTTATTTTAGAACACTTGTCATTTTTAAATGTACTGTCTTTGTCCCTAAATAGATTACAATTTTTTTCTCTTCTCTCGATAACTTTTGTTTGTTTACGCGATTTCATTAAGTATTTGATAAAATAAAATATTCTTATCACTTCTTGTTTTGTAGAACTTTTGACGTAGTTGTTTAATATGTAATTTTTATATCTTATTGATGTATCAATTTGTAAATAAAATGATTTCAAAAAGTAAGAAATTTTACTGCATAACCCGCAATTTGTAATCAAATTGGGGACGGAGGGAGTATTTTTATTTTCTTTTTTATTTTAGAACACTGACCTAATTTATTTTAGAAAACTTACCATTTATTTTAGTTTCGTTTTTAAATGGCTCCAATTGCTTACCATACCATATCTATTTATTTTCTAATTAGAACATTTGTCATTTTTAAAATGTTTCCATTCTTTTAAATTATAGTATTAATATTAATTTGTAGTTTTTTATTTTATTCTTTTATTTAAATGTTGTCTGTGCCATATTTATTTTCTAATCTATTTTAGAAAACTTACCATTTTTACGCGTTTGTGCTTGTAAATTATAATATTTTTTAAAGATAAATAATTAATTTGTAGTTTGTTTGAAATAAATCATTTTAATCCTGCCCATACTTTTTTAATTTGTAATTTTTAAATTTCATTTTAATATTTAAATGGCAGTGTATTTTATTTCCATACTTCAATTCTCCAATGGTTCACTACTATTTAATTTAATTTAATTTAATTTAAATGCTTAAATTGTGTAACATTTAAATAAAAATAAAAATGAAAACATACTTAAAATGGAAGGAAAACATTAAGGTAAAATAATTAAACTACCATTTATGTTGTCAACATTTTCCATATATGAGTGTCTTGCATGGGCGGGAAAAAAATCCATGTCTTTTTAAATAATGTATAGATTAAGGAGAACTGTTATCAACAACATTAGAATATGATTTGGGTCATTAAAGGGCTTTCATTGAAAAGAGCGTTTTCAATTAGCGTTACTGTTTTGGATAAAGTATTAACGATGTATATTACTCCCTCCGTCCTAAAACTTTCTTCCCGTTGCACAAAACGAAGAAAAATCTCAATTTTTTTCAATCTATTTTATTTAAATATTGGTATAGAAATAAAAAATAAAACATACATATTTAAAAACTACATCAAAAGTTCAACAAAACAAGTGGTGACAAGAATATTTAATTTATCATATAGGCCATGAAAAAACACAAATAAATATAAATTCCCGTGAAGTTGGAACAATGCTCTGGGAAGAAAGTTTTAAGACGGAGGGAGTAATTCAGAAAACATTAACGTTAAAGGTTACAGTCAAATAGTTTTTTTCAAAATGTTAACGCTAATCTCTAACGTTGATGCCAAACGGGACCAAGATATATAGAAATATACATAAATAATTTTTTAAGTCAATGCTGGAAAAAACCCGATGTACATGTATATATGCACACTTGTGATGTAATTATCGATCAACAAATTAATCTTCCAAAACCGGATGACCTGATCAACATTTTTCGTACTACTTTTCCCATAAAATTTTCTACCAAAAACCCCAACTTAGAAGTCAATAGCTCCAACCGTAACGAAATGCATAGTAGTAATGCTTGAGGAATTGTGTCACAATAACCCCAAATTTGACCAATTAATACTGGCAATTGCACTGGTTGTATAAACAAATCTATACTCCGTAGAACATTATTTTAGTGTTAAATGTGGGATTATAATACTCCTGTCCCAATTTAATTCGCATGTTTCAATTTACGATGTTTAACTAAAATTATTTTCAATATAATTTATTAAAAAAATTGGAGTGAAATTAAAAAATAAATTTTGCACACTCCCTCCATCTCCAATTTGTAATCAAATTGGGGTTTACAAGGAAAAATATCTCATTTTTTGAAATCATTTTATTTACAAATCGGTATATCGATATAAAATAAAAATTACATATTAAAAAACAATGTCAAAAGTTCTACAAAACAAGAGGCGACAAAAATATTTTATTTTACAAAATACTTAATAAAATCAAGTGAACAAACAAAAGTTATCGGGGGGAGAGAAAAAAAATTGTAATCAAATTGGAGACGGAGGGAGTACTAAAAAACCGACATCAAAAACTCTACAAAACAAAAGGTAATATGACTTTTATTTTATCAAATGAGTAACAAAAACTGAAAAAGAAAATAAATGAAATTTGACCTTGAAAATAGTAAGCGAACAACTTAATTTGGGACGGAAAAATAACATTACTCTACTTGAAGTACACATGCTAATAGTTTTATTAGCAAAATATTTTTAAAAAAAAAATGAAACAAAAAACCACCTCAAATCTATTCCTTTTCTTCTTATCAATTTTCTCCTAGTCAGTTTGCGGCCCGATTCCGTGGCCACGGAAGCCACTGTTCCGATTTAGACACCTACGATAATCTTTTCGTAAAATTAAGGATTCATACCCCCACGGCCCCCCACCTACACCAATTGCACCCCGCAATTTTAGTTGACTTTGAGGTCAATACTTTAGGCTTTAAAGTCAACTATACTTACGGGGTGCAATTGACGTAGGTGGAGAGATGAGTAGGGGTCGGGACTGGGCAGGGGGTTTATCGGGGCGTTTAGGAGGTGTAGGAATCATTGATTTTACGAACGAAGCATCGTAGGGGGACAGTGGCTTCCGTGGCCATTGAAACTCAGTGGCCACTAAACCCAGCCGGTTTGTAAATACCCAGAGTATGTAATATAATATTAATACCCCCTATAACTAATTGGAAAAGAAAGAAAATCAAAATAGATACCAAAGAGAAATTAGATGGGAAGAACATGCAAACAAGCATACTCCTTTCGTCCCATAAGAAGAATCTCTGTTTCTAAACTTATAGTCACAAAAAGGCTCTAACTTGAACAAAAAAAAGGCTTTTTAAAACCCCGTGTTCCATTAGCTTAAACCTATATACAAAGTCGCCTTCTAATAAATGTGCTAAAAAAATATATATGTACACTCAAATCATCTCAAGACATCGGGAGGACGCATAATGAAAATTGGCGAGGAGCCTTTCGTCTCTCCAATCTACGTGTGCAATTTGTGGGGCCACTTTAGCAACGTCGAGGTAAATTGTGGGAGTGGCCACGCAAATTGCACACATGACAGACCCTTCTATTGCAAAGCACTGAATTCTCAGCTTGAGAAGACTAGATTCTTTTACCTGCATTGGCTAAAAGAGACTCGGCCGTCTTTACAGCTTCAGCTATTCTAAGTGCCATAAGAGCTTTGAAAGTCAATAAGTCAGCATTTCCCATAAGCTGCTGCGCTTTGTGACGCTTCACAACAGCCTTGTCGTCGTGTTTTTGTGCTGCTTCTTTAGCTTCTTGAACCTTAACGAAGGCACTCTTCTTCTGCTGTGCACCTTCTACAGCTGAAATGGGAGTATTTAGTTATAAACTAAAGAAAATCATATCTTAAAAAAGGAAATTTTTATTTTATTTAAAAAAAAATCTCGATTCCACCCAAAAAAAAGTCTTGGGCTACTTAGATGATTAGAACACACCTTGCAGTAAAGTCAGGTTTTTCCCTCTTCTGAATTGACCTTTATGCCGTTTGAATGATCTTTTCTTGCGCATGATATGCATCGGGATTAACCGACTCCTAGGCTGATACAACTGCCAGGATAAACATAATCTTGAGATAACTCAGAGCCTCTCATTTGGAAAATCCAAATGAAGCAAAAAATGATAATTTTTTTAGCATTTTTCATTCATTAAAATTTACCGGTCTTTATATAATATTTCATTTTTGAAAAATAGCAAAAAAAAGATTGGTAAAGCAAACATTTCAGTGAAGGACTTCCATTTTACCTGGAAAATCCTTATCAAGGGAGATCGTTTTTGTTTCCGTTTTTCAGACCAGTAACTATATACAGCTTCTACAACTTCCTTCCTTTCTGTCTCTAGGAAAGCACCACAAACAGATCTCTCATCAGCACAATAGTTTGGATTTGAGAAAGCCTCTCTTTCAAAAGAATCAATAATAAACTCGAATCTTTCAGCGTAAACATGGTCAAGAAGCTCTTTCTCCAAACAATAGTTATTGTTAAAGGTGGCCAGCCACTCTTCATCATCAGAGTCGAGATCATAGTTCACTCTCTTCCATGCCAATGCTCTTGTGGCTTCATCATCCTTCACAGAAATGTATGAATCTGGTTGAATAAACGGCACAACATTTTTCTCTTCATAGACAGCCACTTCACGTATGCCAGGAACAGGAATAGAACTAGTTGCTTGGTGATGCATATTGCGATCACAACATTCCTTATAGAGTTCCTTGAATATCATCCAATCTTGCCTATCAGGAAACTCCATTTTCAAATTATCATCAACACTCCATACTATTGCATGAGTTACACGGTTAGAGCTGCATGGCCTCAAAACTTTCTCCGCAAAAAGATGTAATCGACTCAACCCTCCTCTCTTAACAACAAGAATCCACTGTTTGGAGACAGAACATTCCAGAGTGATCATCGCCGATGCCTCCCTGTAACACTTGTCTAATTCTATAACCAATAAGTTCACTGAGGCAGATTTTGCTTCTCCGGCATTTGCATTTGGAATATACTCCGGGTAGTTAGCATAACTTGTGATTAGCGCATAATGGGCAGCTGTGAACTGACCTCTCCTTGACCTCAGAGTATTTCTCTGCTTCTGGTTAGTCTGACCATTCCTTGGTGGAAAATTCCGGGTAGCTACTTTTGTAACTGTAGGAACTGGTTGTGCAAGAACCCACATCCCAGAATCAATACTGTATGGTATCTCTATCCGCCCCAAACGGTCACTGCCAGAGGCATCACAGCATTCATTTTCCATGTCCATAGCAATTCTGGTGTCCCCCTCAGAAACATCCAGAGCCAGGTTCCAACACACAGAGGAAAGAGAATCTGATCTCTTCAAATGCAAACTTGCGTGTAAAGACATAAAACAACTCGGAACGACAGAAAGGTTGACAGTAAAAACTGGCATAGTAACCCGAACAGAGGAAATGATGCAAGCATTTAGTCTCATTTCCGAAGTAGATTCCTAGAAAAAATAAAGTGTAAATGAGGGGAAAAAGGTTAAAGGTAGACTTACTCAAAAGTATGATATATAAAGAAGTTCCCAACAAAAATTACCTCAAAAAAATTAACTCCATGCAAAGAGTATACATCATGAATTGGATTTGTTTGTAGGAACGCAAAAAGGTGCTGTAAAGTAACACTTGTTCTCCTCATGTAACACAATACAGAACTCAAGAAGCCAGCAACCAAAACACTACTGGCATGCCTACAATTTTCTACACTAATGGATTCAACGATAGTTAAATGATGAGCCCAAGAATCATGTGCAGAACTTCCTCTATTTCCCTTCTTATATCTCTTTCTAGCATACTGCTTTCCAAACCTTCTAAACAACAAATTATTATTTACACCATTATCTATCATACCAAGACTCTGCGAATGAGTCCTTTTCCTTTTCCTCGTATAAAAGGCTCCCCACATTTTATCTACATTTCCATTCCCACTGATCCCCTGTGGTTCATGCTTATCAAGTTCAGGCATAACAACTGTACAATCAACACCTGTATTGAGGATGATTCCAGAAGATTCTTGAATCCGATGAACATTGTTCGTGCGGCGCCCTTTCGCCTTGCATTGGGAAGCGTAGCCGCCATTTCCATCTCTTGCACAGCCAAGAAACTCGATCCACCGTTCAGCTGCTCGCAGACGTTTCCCCTCACTGGGAATTCTCAGCCGTCTTCCAGATCTTAGCACCCTTACTCCTAAAACTGTTGTTGTCTTCCTCATTTCCACTGAAGGCATTGGGGCCAAGTGGCAACTCTCCACGGCTCAAAGCCAGTTTTCAAAACATTCTAAAAAAAGACATTTTTTACTCCGTAATATAAAAAAAAAAATCAAACTTGGACACTCCTGGCTTAATAAAACTAACTTAACATCTTAGAGAAAACATTTTTAAAATCAGATCCCGAAACATGTGACAATTTCAGAATCATCGGGTTAAAGGAGGGGAACCGTGGCGGCGGAAGGATCAAAGGTAAATGACGACGCGTGAATAGTGATGCTTTCAGAGTGAGAGTGAGAGTGGATTTCGCGCTTCGCGGCAGTGATAGAGATTAGGGCTTCTTGGAGGAGTTGGAGACGTCTGCTATCGGAGTGAAATTACTATTTTACTCCCTTGCTTTCTTTCCCGCTCAAAAAACATACGGAAGACTTCATAGAACTCCAATTGAAATTACGTAGTTATTTTACTAAAATTAAATCATATCAGATTAAATATAATTAGATAAATTCATATTCAATTAGATTAGATAAAAAATAATTTTAAATATAATTATTCTTAGATCAGATCAAAATACTTTAAATATAACTATAATTTAGTTAAATCTAATCAGACCAGATCTTTAAAAAATCAAATCAGACTAGGCGAATGAAATGCAAGTTAAGGGCTTGTTTTATTCACCTTATCTGATTGAAGAAAGTTCTTATTTAATCTAATTTGGTCTGATAGAATTGAAGTTATATTTAAAACTGTTTCCTAATATGATCTGATTCAATTAAAAATGAGTAAAATTATAAAAATAAAATTAAAAGAAAAAACATTAAAAGACAGTACTATGGTAAACCCATACAAATGTAACCTCATATTTTGCATAGACACACACGTCAATAATTGTTTGTGTCAGTGTGACACGCAGACGATTATTGTCTTTCTTTTTGTGCAAAACATGGAGTCACGTATGTAGAGTTACCCTAGCTTTTTCCATGACTAAATGTCCATACAACCCCAAACAGATTTTTTCATCACCATCAATCATATATCTAAGGAGATGATGACTCAGAAAATTACCTTCTCGTTTTACAAAAGGCCAACTAATTGAAACAGAAATGTCATTGGGAAATAGACGAAAATAGAATTAAACATAGAAAGTACTCCCTCCGTCCCTAAATAAATTTTCATTTTTGAATTTTTGAGGATTTAAGGGAGGGATATTTTTGTGTTGACTTTCCAAAAATACCCTTGATGTGATGTATAAAAGTTAGATGTGATAGGTAGATTATTAGTAAAAAGGTATGATGTGATAGGTAGGGTATGAAAAAGTAAGAGTTAAAAGAGGTTTTTTAAGGAAAAAAAAGTTTATTTGGGGACAAAAAAATGAAAGAGGATGTTTATTTAGAGATGGAGGAAGTATACCATAATAGTAGTTTCATGTTTTTATTACCCAAATGAGAGATAAAATGCATATACAATGCTAAAATACAATACAAAAAAAGTATTGTAAAATATTTATATACAGTGTCACCGTGTAAACTCTTATTTTAGGTATAAAAACATAGATCATCTATTTTGTTATGTTCTCTATGTTTTACTCCTATCTAAAATGTTTTTCAAATATTTTTCAAACTCAACATGTCATCAATAATTAAGCTAAACACACTATATGCACCAACAAAAATTAGAAAGAGGTATTATTACCAGTATATCCAACAAAAGTTGACCGATTTATTGTTTTTATGAGAATTGAAAATTATATTCAAAAAATTTTAAATATTTAAAAATTGAAAAGATGTATAATAAAATTAAAAATCAAAATCAAAATCTTACAAAACACATATAATAAAATTGAAAACTAAAATGTTTATATGGTTTTGAAATAAACTATGTATTAAACAAAGATTTAATGAAATAATTTAATTTTATGAAATAAACATTTTAAACTTATAAATAATTTTAATTTTTAAAAATATGTTTAAATAATATTTTTAAAGCAATCAAATAAATTTTGTATTTCAAAATTGTATTGTGTGATGGGAATTACAACTCTGGTAATAGTTTTTTTATAACAACTAAGATAATAACTACTCCCTCCCTCTTTGAGTATCTGCCCATTTTCTACTTTTTTTTTGTCAAAATTGATAAATTTTGATTTCAAATTATATAAAAATGATATTAGCTGTCAATATAAAATTAGTTTTATTTATTATATCAAATATTTTCAAAATATTATTTTATCTAATTAATAAATAATATATATTTTATTTAATTATAGGTTAAATATAAAAAATAATTGACCAGAAAAAAGTCAAAACTGGATAAATACTCAGTGATGGAGGTAGTATTTAACTTAGAAATTGCAAGATTTTATTAAAATAAAATTTGATGGGTTTAGAACTTGGGACCTAGAAGATTAGGTAGAAGAGTATCGAACAAGGTTTTGAAGGTCTTTTGGTTTCAATACTAGAGTAATATATTGGCTTAGTAGTAAAAATGTAAACTTGTCTCCCCTCTAGGGGAGTGGTATTTATACAAAAGAAATCATCCTACATAGCACTCTAACTCACCCTAAATTACGCATTTAGCACTACTCATTGTTTTTAACAAACTTAGCAATTTATGGTGTCAATCCTTTCCTATCATACCCTTTACCTCTTTTTCTGTTTTTTTTCATTAAAAATTACGGCATTCAACTCCAATAATCTCTCCTTCCGTTCTCCCGCACGCTATTAAACTCTACGGTCTCTCCTTCCGTTCGCCGGCGATGATGCTTGGTATTTCAAAATTGATTTCACAACACCTAAT